TTGGGACTCACTCTTCCAGGGAATGTTATTCTTTGTCATGTTTTATATTTTTACCTCATGTATTGTATTTCTATAATGAATTTTTTTAAAGATTAAAGTCGTGTAGGGTTTAGAGGTTGATCCCTGTGGAAAGTATATTCTCTGAGTTTCTTCCTGTATTACTTCATTAGACTAGAGTGATGTTCACGTTGATGGGATTACACATCTGCATGAAGGAGAGGGGTCGCTGATATTTAAACCTTAATATCTTTTTGGTATATAGTCTACCTTATTTCACTTACTTTCTTCTTATTGTCTATGTTTTCATTATTTTTATTAAATATCTCACACTATGATAACAGAAAATCTGGCAAATATGGTGTAATTTAAGTCCTGGGACATTAATTTACTGCGGATGCTTTAGCAATTAAAGCACTTTCTATACATTTTAGTTTTATTGAATTGTTTTTCTTTTAATTAAATTCAGACTCATTACGGTGAGTAATTGATGAGGTTCTATTAATATATACACACAAAACTCCTTCGAATATAGGATAGAATTCACACACAAATATAATCAATTCCATCTCGTTAAAACTAAATGCCAATTTCAAATCATCCGCGGATTTCCGTGGATAACGATAACATAAACCTGGAGTTTTTTTATAGTGAACACACAAACATCATCAAAATCAACTACACAGGATAAGGTAAAAAAGCAAATGAAAACATGAAGATTATGTTGCGTCATAGCAACTTTCATTTTCCTGTTTTTAATAATGGCACTTGGATTATTATAACCTATGAAACATGATAAATTGACTAAGCTTAAGAAAGACAGTGCAGCGTCAATAGTATCGAAGTTATTCCTTGAAGTGAAGCCAGGGTCGACCTGAGTTACGTATCCCATCATTTAACGCGTTGTATATGAGTATCTGCGGCATTATGTCACATGACCAGATCACATGACAATTGCTCCCGATTCCATATTTGGCAAGAATATCAGTAAATAAAAGCCAAGTTGCATAATGTTGGTCCGACTCAGCATCCATGATTCTGACTGGATCGTTAAAACAGAAGCTTGATACACACGAATTTTACTTTTAAAATGTAATACACTTTGGTTCCAAAGTCGATATCAAATTTTTCTACAGAATTCGGTTGCCTTGGAAATTGCATAAGTTTATATCTTCAGGGAGGGATACAGGGGACATGGTTGTATTTCTTTAGGACTTGAATTGTTCCAAAGACCGAGATCTTTTCTAGAATTCACATATATGACAAATAAACAATGCTGCTTCTAGAACCAAGGTCTCCTTGTAAGAATTTTACCGTTCTAATCATTATGCTATGCGCCAACTTAGAGTAGAAATATTGCATGTCCAAGGAACAATATCGATGTCGGTTATTTGGGGTTTGATAAAAGCCTTGTTGCTGTTATTTTAGCGGGTACTCACATCGATTTTACACAAATCGATAGTTTATCGATTGAGTAAGTCACAGTGAAAAAAAAAAGGTTTGAATGAGAATGTTGAAAAATAAAAAGAAGTCTGGTTCCTTCTGGCCACGTAGATCGTAGGAAGAATCTGCTTGAGTAGAACTTATGTCTCACAGGTGGGGGCGGGTATAAAATGGAATGTGGGGAGTTCAGTAATTATGTAGCGGAGCCATGATAATTATTCGATAATCCCGATTACATATTTATCAAGAATATCAGCATTTATGAAATAAATCTGATAGAAACGTTAAAACAAAGCTTGATAGACTGTAGTTTTAGTTGAAAAATGTATTACTATTTCGTTCCAAGGGCGATATCGAATTTTTCCCAACAATTCGGTTACCTTGGAAATTGGATAAGTTCATCTCTTCATCAAAGTACCTGGTTGTATTTCTTTAAGACTTGAGTTGTTCCCCATACTCTCAGCATTAGTTGTGAGTGGTGTATCTACAATTTGGGGAGAAAATCGCGTTTTTTTTTATTATACATTTTATCTATTTAATTATGGGCTTTGTTTGGTGCCCAACAATTTTAAATATCATGTTTAAAGTTAGCATAATACACTCACACACACACACAGACACACACACAGACGCACACACACACACACACACACACACACACACACACACACATATATATATATATATATATATATATATAGATAGATAGATAGATGGCGAGAGAGAGAGAGAGAGAGAGAGATGTATAACTGCCCACTCATATTCGAGGATATCTCCCCACAAGGGCGCCTAACCAATCCCTATTGCAGACGCTTGTTTTATTTAACACCTACGGAGCCTACCTATGTATTATACAGCAATTATACTGAGTAGACCTTAGTTACAGTTCCGGGGAAAAAGCGTGTTCTCTAGCGTGATCAAAAATTTGAACAAGCCCAGCACGCTCAGGCACTCGGGCACGATGACTTGTGCCAGCACAGCTATCTTCGGTACCCAATGGTTTCGTCTACCTAATTTCACTCACACGGCTTGGGTCAACCGATGGCATGGCTTTTAGGCACTTACCAAAGGTGCCGTACGCTGGGATCGACCTATCCAATCCAATAACTTCAGGAAGTCTCCTTCAAGACAAATCTCATTGTTAGTATACGAAATTCATATTTCCCACTTCCACTCACCTCTCCTAAAATTCTCTCTGTTAAGGTTTAATTTCCCAGCTTCTCTCGTCTGTTACCCCTCTCTTTAGCTCTAACATTCGTCCCACACTCTCATACTTACACTCTCTCTAAATTCTATTTTTATTTCCGGAGTTGTTTTTTCTGTTTTCTTTTTGAATTTGTAGGTCTGATGAATTGGATCGTATTTACGATTCCAATGGAATAAACTATGACCATGGAATATTAGTGTTTAAGCCTTTTATTATATATATATATATATATATATATATATATATATATATATATATATATAATCACATTATACATATAAATATACTTTTTCTCAGGTGGTATAAATACAGTATTCAACGTTATGAAACAGAGCTAGAAGTATCTGTCTATATTTCTGAGATGGGTATTATGTACATTATTTACATTATATGGACTATTGTCTTCATCTTTGTCGCCATATTTATCACAACGTTTCGGCCGTTGTACGTTCAGGCTTTCTTCAGGTTATGGGAATGTCGAACTGAACCCTTTATTTCGATCACTGGGCTAGACTGTTCTAGTTCCACGTGCCATGTTTAATGGTTGTCAGTTATCAGTTATCTCCTGTTAATTTCCCTCTGAAAGTTCTCCACTGCCTTAGCCGGGTATGGAACTCAAAGACACATAGCACAATGGATAAAGGCATTATTTAGTTCCAGTGACAGGACCCAAAGAGTTTGAGTTTTATAGTTTTCTTGCCGACGCTGCTATCAGCAATGATTCGTCAGTATCTCTAGTTATTGTTATGATTGTTGTCATTAATAATAGATGCAAAAAAAATGTCATTCAGTACCAGGGTGAATGATTTGTAAACCTACCCTTACTTACGAGGCCATATCTTTTGAAACCCTACACCCGCTTGCTTGTAAAATCTACACTAGAAAGGATTGTAAATATCTAATGGCTGTTGTTGTGTTTGCGTACGCCTTGCCGATGGTGTGACATCGCGGGGGCGGATTCTACGTCTCCCGCTGAGGTCGGGAAAACCAGCTGGCGTCTTTTTCCGTAGTTTTGTTCCATGCCCATCAAACAAGAAAGTGTCTTTTAAACATTTCCAGAATTTCTCGTAATGAGGGAGAAAATGTGGGTGGGGTTTATGGCGGAAGGGGAACATTGTGTCGAGTTTTTAAAAAAATACAAGTAAAAAGTTAAAAAAAAAAAAGGCTTGGAATTTTGAGTGTGTGCAGACGTTAGTCGAGGATAAAAGGCATATAATATGGCATGTTGTGAACGGGCAAGAAGTGTAATGTTATGAGCAGTAACAGAAGAAGGGAAGGAGGAGGAAGAAGAAGAAGATGAGGACAAGAAGGAGGAAGAAGAGGAGGAGAAGGAGGAAAAAGAAGAGGAAGTGGAAGAGGAATAAAACCAGAGAAAGAAGAAGAGGAAGAAGAATGAGGAGAAAGAGAAGGAGGAAGAAGTAGGAGGAGGAAGAAGAAAAAAGAAGAAGCAGAGGAAGAAGAAGAAGAAGAGGAGGAGGAGGAGGAAGAAGAGGAGGAGAAAGAGGAAAAAGAGGAAGTGGAAGAAGAGGAGAAAAAAGAAGAAGCAGAGGAGGAAGAAGAAGAAGAAGAAGAAGAAGAAGAAGAGGAGGAGGAGGAGGAGGAAGAAGAGGAGGAGAAGGAGGAAAAAGAAGAGGAAGTGGAAGAAGAATAAGAACCAGAGGAGGAAGAAGAGGAAGAAGAATGAGGAGAAACAGAAGGAGGAAGAAGTAGGAGGAGGAAGAAGAAAGGGGAAAAAAGAAGAAGCACAGAAGGAAGAAGAAGAAGGAGAGAAGGAGAAGGAGGAGGAAGAGGAAGAAGAAGAGGCGAAGAAGGAGAAGAAGAAGATAAGGAGGAAGAAGAAGAAGAGGAGTAGGAGGATGAGGATGAATAAGAACTAACCAAGAGAGAAGAAAAAACAAGGAAAAAGAGGTGGAAAAAGACGAAGAAGTAGAAAAAGAAAAAAATACTATAAAAAGAAGAAAAAATGAAGAAGTAGGAAAAGCAGAGTAGGTGGAGGGGGAAGAAGAAGAAGAAGAAGAAGAAGAAGAAGAGGAAGAAGATAATGAGGAAGAAGAAGAAGGTGGAGGAGGAGAAGGAAGATGAAGAAGAAGTAAACAAGAAAGAGAATAATAAAACAAGGGAAAAGAAGCGGAAAAAGACGAAGTAGAAGAAAAAATAAAAGAAGAAAAAGATGATGAAGAAGTAGAAAAAGACAAAGAAAAAGAAAAAATAAATAGAAAAAAAGATGAAGAAGCTTTAGCAGAAGAAGAAGAGACAAAGAAGAAGAAAACTAAATAGAGAAAAAGAAAAGAAAAGAAGAAGTAAGAGAAAAAGAAAGAAATAGATACCAATTCATAAGTGTGAAGAAAAGTTAAATGAAAAGAGAAAGAAAAGAAGATCCTTGTTACAAAGAAGGAAAATAAGCGAAACATTCACTGACAATGGCTGCTGATGAATTTTAAGATAATAAAGAAATCATATGAATTTATAAAAAGAAAAAGAATAAATTAAACCGAAAATTTGAATCAATTAACAAAGTATCTGCTTTAATTTCATCAATGAGAAATTATCATTATTTACACTATTTACATTAAGACTATTGTCCTCATCTTTATTTATTGGTATCACAACGTTTCAATCGCTGTACCAGCCGGCTTTCATCAGGTGTCCATCGATCCTGCTAAACTACAGTACATAACAACAACAAGGATGAGGACAATACTCCGAATCTAACTGTTGTGAATAATAATAAATTCTCATCATCGAAATTCAAAGAAAATGAAATTGATAAAATGAACGTATTTTATGCCAACGCGTTTCACTGCTTGACGAACCTTGTAGAAATGTAATTTCCGAACCTGTACTTATCAGTGCGACTTAGAATTAGAGAACATTTTCTTTATAAAAACATTCGAAATAGATTAAACTGGAATTAAAATAAACGCGATCTTCTCCCCAAATACTACATACATCAGTCATAACTGATGAGGAAGCTATGCGTCAGAATTCAAGTCCTTAGGAAATGCAACCACGTCCCCTGCATCCCTTGATGAAGAAATAAACTCATCCAATTTCCAAGGCAAACAAATTCTTTCTAAAAATTCGATATCACCCTTGGTCGTACAGGCACACAAGCGCACACACGTACACATAGTATACAGAAGAAAACTTCCATTAGTATAAAATATGCATAAAAGGAAGAAAAAAGCAAAAAATATATATATATAAATAAATAAAGGCAATAAATTGTTGATACCCGCTGAGGAGTGGACGAACAGATCCGTATACGAAACTCTGGAGTCGGGATGCTGAAATAAATTGATATCAATCAGCTAAGTGACAAACTTTACTCACAATATTCATATATATATATATATATATATATATATATATATATATAAATGAAAGTTTCTCAGAGATAACCTGTAGAAAAGATAATATTTATAAATATAAATGACAATAGGAAAACTGTAGTAGTTGCTGACGCGTTTAGTCCAATGTGGACTTTCTCAAGGCAAAAAACGAAATGAATTTATTTAAACAAAGTAACTAATAATAACAAAAAACATAATGTCCTTAGCAACTGGAAGAATTTAGAGAATGCTATTTTCATACTGTTAACAGAAATTACCTCAATTACTGTCACGTGTGGAGATATTGTTTTTATTGCCATTGAATATTACCCAAATATTAATCTACGCCAAGGCCTTTTCCCATTTTCACCTTTCTTAACAGAATTACTACTCTCCCAAGCAAACGTACACAGCAATATCCTGAAATCAAAAGAAAATGGTTGAATCCGTCAATAAAGCAATGCTTTTAATTTAATTATATAATTAAATTTGAAGTTTTTAGCATCGGTTTTTTAAACATGGTTATTACTGTGTAGCGAAAAACATTTTAAATCAGTTAATTTATTATATATATATAAATATATATATATATATATATATATATATATATATATATATATATATATATAAAAACATACAGCTATGATGACAATTGACGACAAGATGGAAGCGCTCGGCAAAACAGAAAGAACTGTGGCCTTTTTTAATAACTTCGACTCGAACATAAAAAACAAAACTTTCGAGAAAGCAAAAAAAAAAAAAGAGAAAAAAAGATTATTAAACGGAAAAGTTCTTTAGTCTTTGACAACACATGCCTTAACAATGGTATGTTGCCAATATATACTTAAATCCACACACACACAAAATTCGATATCGCCCTTGGAACCAAATAGTAATACATTTTAAAATTCAAAATTAGTGTGTATCAAGCTTTGTTTTAACGGATCTATCAAAATCATGGTAGAACTACATTATCCAACAGGGCCTATTTTATAAATGCTGATATTCTTGACAAATATACAATCGGAAATATGGAATAATTATCACGGCTTAGATCTGGCATGACAGGTACATTATACTGACCCCCACACACACACACATTCCCTTTCGTACCTCCACCCCCTGGTGTGTCCACTCTTTCCCACGAACCACACGGCCTTATGGACCCAGATTTATTTTTATTTTTTCACATTCTTATTCAAACCGTCTTTTTGACTGTGGCTTACTCGACCGATAAACTTGATCTGAGCACCCGCTAAAATAACAGCAACAACACCTTTATCAAACCCCAAATAGAAGACATCAATATTGTTCCTCAGACATGCAATATTTCTGCTCTAAGTTGGCACGCAGTAGAATGAATAGGATTCCTACCAGGGTTCTAGATTCACCATGGTCGATTTTTTATATGTGTGATTTCTAGAAAAGTTCAGTCTAAGGATAGAGTCTGCCGAAACGATTTTTAATTCTGTAAATAATATTTTGTCTGTTTTCCAGAAAATCTTTCCGAGCGACATTCATTATTTACCCTATTTATTTTTGGACAGTTGTCCTCATTTTTGTTGTTGTTATCTGTTGTAGAGTAGTTTCACAGTGGAGGCTTGTATTTCACTAATTCGGCCCTAAAATGGTTCGACGTACAATAACGTTAGGAACTTTTTATAATAATTAATGACGCAGCAATCTAGTTGGGGTGGTTGATACTTTAATGTCCGACATCGACTGACTCACCAACTCACTGAGCGACTTTGCGACTGCTACTACTACTACTTATTATAGGTGGGAGAGTCTATTAACAATAGAATAGGTATGTTCCAGTATAACATTATCAGAACTTTTTGGTTGTTGTGCTCTTCGGCCTTCTTCAGGTGTTTACCGATCTGGGTAACCGATAGATGAATACCGGAAAACTTTAATTAATCTACGAGAGTAGAATGTTCTTATTTCACTGCCCTTGTTGAGTTATATCTCTTCTAGTTTTTATATTTCCTGGTCCAGGTATTGAACTCGTAATTACTGTTGTTACTTGATCTCAGTGGAAACGGGTGATCAATAACTAAGTAAAATGAATAACTAGGTGAGATATCCTTAGACAAGGCAGTGGAACAAGAACGATCTACATCTGTAGATTAAATACAGGGTTCACTTTGGAATTGGTGATATAGTAATCATGAATTCAATCCCTGGGCCTGGTGGTATGTACATGTACTCGGTGTAAACAGAGCGAAAAATTACAATGGAACGTGAAGGGTTCAATTCAAAATTGCCTGTAGATTACCCAGATTTATATACACCTGATGAAACCAGGGAAGCAGAATTGCCGAAACGTCTTGATTACAGGAAAATCAATGAGTAAAATATTGATTAATTGTTTTCTATTTTACGCCTTATCAATCTTTTACATGTTCTTTAAAGCCACTAAATATTTTTAGATTGAAATACTTTCTTCTGGCAATACTAATGAGAAATGATGGATTTGCCGAGGTATTTGAGCGGAAGTGAATATCAAGAGCCTGATTGGAATTGGAACTCTGGTCTTAGGTTTAAAAAGCTGACCCGTTATCCCATTACACGCAACGCTCATCCAAGCTAACAGCACCTGCTATTCCCAAGCGGTCACCCATACAGTTACTGACCAGGATGGACGTTGTATATATTCGGTGATCATACAGGAACCGTTATTTCAACGTTATACTGCCGTATGTCCATTATACAATTTGTACATCCAAGCTTGCCGCAACTGGTTTTCCTACGCAGTCACCCATATAGTACTGACGAGGATCGACGTTGTTTACGAGAATCGTTTTTTCAAAGCTATGTGGCCGTAATACCATTACATTCTACGCATATTTAAGCTTAATATATATTATGCCATTAAATTCCTCGAGCAACATAGGGTCGCGGTTTCTATAACAAGTTTTTTAAGTAAGTAGGTTGTTAGCCAACTGCGCCTGAAGGATTACCTTTTTGTATTCAGAGTTGTCCTTCTCCAAGACCAGTTGCCATCCAAGGTTATAGAATCCAGTCTGTACTGCTATTTAACCATAGCTGGGATGAGAAGAAGAGGATTCATACCTTTCCCAAAGGTATAAGCACGTAAGTGAATATAATGGATTCGACTGGAATTTGAACTCGGATCTCCGATTCCTCAATCCGTGCCGCTATCCATTACTCCATCGTTGAATTAAAGCCATTTCGATATTGGGTTAGGGACATATTAATGAAACCAAAGTCATTCAGTTATGTACCATGCGTGATACACACTTAGGCGATCATGTATCTTTCGATACATGACTGACGAGACAGATTTTTTTCCCGCAGTAGGTGACCATTTCTTTCTTCGGTAGACCAGTTGCCATCCAAGGCTATATAACCCGGTGTGTCCTGCTATTTAACCATAGCTGGGGGAGAAGAGGATTCATACCTTTCCCAAGGGTATTAGCACGTAAGTGAATGTAATGGATTCGACTGGAATTCGAACTCGGTTCTCCGGTTCCTCAATCCGTGACGCTATCCATTACTCCACCGTAACCTTTTTATTGAAGCTTAAAAGCACCTCTTATTCCCAAAGCGGCCGGCAATATGAGTTACTGATCAAGTTCGCCGATCTTGGAAGAAACGGTATTTCAACTTTATATGGCCGTAATCCATGAGGTAATTAGTCCGAATCGCCAATGTAAGTAAAAATAACATGAAATTTTATGAAAGAGGAAAGACAGATACCTTTATATGGACTAAACAAAAGGAAAGAAGAAAAGAAAGAAAAACAAGAAACAAAGAAAGAGGAGAAAGAAAAGAAGGATAAAGAAGGATAAAAAAGAAGAAGGAGAAAAAAGAAAAAAGAAGACGACGAAACTGTTTACTCTATAAAATTACGAATATGAAAAGAAGAATAAATTAACATTTAGAAGAAGTAAAAAAGGAAATGATGTATGAAAATAAGAAGAAAGAATAAAAGCAAAATAGGAAGGACAGAACATGGAAAATAAAGATGAAGAAAATAATGAAGAAAATATGAAAAAGAAGGAGAAAGAATAAAAATAGAAACGAAAATGAAGAAGAAAAAGAAAGAAAAATAAAAAATGAAAAAAAAACACCGTGAAAGAGAAAGTTGGAGTAAAAAAATAAAAAAAATATAGAAGAATACTTGATTCGTTTTGTTATACCTTTTCTGATTCAGTGTGCATCCTGATCGGATGTTAATGCTACGGAGGCAGAGAACGAAATAACAAAAGTTGTTTTCAGGGCATTAGGCTCCACGCATCACATCCGATCTACGAAACGAACCTTGACAGTGGCCAGTCGCGAATGTTCCCGCCGGAAAAAGAGATGCCCGGGGGGACTAACAGACCTGCTTAAAAGTAGGTCTCTGAGAACGACCAAATTAGATACCGACATGATAACATCTCAACTCCAACGCTTCCCAGCTACAATCCGCCATCGTTACCGACGCTGTCATTTCGAGAAATAGCAACCACACTAATCAGACACCACCACGGCAACTAATCCCCGTGACCTCGGCCTACTCGACTCGTTTTTCTAGGCATTCCCTTCGTAGTCGCTACCGCGGCACCGTTCAACAGAACCAGCCTACCAACCACACCAATCCGACAACATCTTGTCGCCCGGGCAACCCACCGCCGTCACCACGGCCTACTTTACTCATTTACAGGGCATTCCTTTTGCATTCGTCACTGCGGCCCCGTTCAACAGAACAGACCTACAAACCTATACCAATCCGACCATACCGCGTCCCCTGGACAACCCACCGACGTTACCTCGGCCTACTCGACTCGTTCGCAGTGTATTCCTTCGCAGTCGCCACCTCGACCGCTTGCCATAGAACAGACCTAAAAACTCACGCCCCGGTTTATAGAACAGGAGTACCAACCAACGAAAATAACCTACCACCGTGACCTCGATGAACCAAACGTTCACGGACCATATCCTGTGATTTCTGCCAGCCCAGGATAGGTCAACCTCTAGCGTTTCCCGTACAAAAGACCGCCATTCTGACGATCGGCCACTTAAACGGACATTCCAACCATCTTTCAACATCTCTGTATGACATACAATAAACGTTGTTCAAATCTAAACGCTTAATATAACATTTTTTTTACGGCTTGTGAACCCATTGTGAATTATTTAAGGCCGATGCATTTCAAGTTGTGGGAGGTTACTTAGTGCAGCAGGAGTTATACAACAGAGCTATTAAGTATATATTAATAAATGTAGATATTATCCTCACTGTTCGCCCGACTTTGAGTTTCAAGCACAATGTAAACCTCAGGTGCTGTGTATTGACTGACCGTTATGTAATTTAAATAAAAAAAATTGGCAATCGCAATATTGGCGCAGATATGTATTATACTTGGATTTCAAGTTCTAAATTTAAAAAAATATATATTTGGCATTTAGAACAAACCTGATTTATACATGTAGGAAAAATAATTTCGAGTTGTGAATATTCATTTTTTTTTGTATTAAGCATAAAGGGAGATTTTCAACAAAAAGAAAATGAACCAGAATTTACATTAAATTTAATCTGGATCAATGTATTTCAGCAGATATTCAATTCTCTTGCTTAATAAGCGAGTGTTGCTTCAGCGTTTTAAGATAACTAATTATTCTACAACACATAAATAACATCTATTGCCCTTCTCATTTTAAGATTTGCATCGGGCCATAATATCGCAGGCGATAAAAGGTATATTCAGACCATTCTATAATTGGCAGAAATATTTTGCGTGTGAGGTGCTGATTTTGTATTTTGCATTACCTAAAGTTATTCGATGATGATAGAAACGAAAATCCTTGGCAATTTCGTTGACGGATATATATATATATATATATATATATATATATATATATATATATATATATATAGTCATCCACAGACAGACTGTTTCAGGGTATCACAGCTCATCAGTTTACCTAGACACTCAATTGATTCAAGTAGGATCGAAACCAGATCGATTTGCCATCAGTCATATATATATATATATATATATATATATATATATATGAAGAAAAATATATACGGAAAAAACAAACAAAAATCCGTATATGCAATTATGCTGTTTTAATGTTAATATGTCAACGTCGGACGTTTCGGTCTAATAAACCATCTTCAGGACATATTCATAAATTATAACATTATCAATACAACATGACAAAGACGATGTATATAAGAACAAGACTTATCCAAGCGACGTCGACATTGACATTGTATATAAGGATTTTTGTTTGTTTTTTCCGTATATACTTTTCATACTGTCAGATTTATATCCATATATTTGCTTACATATATATATATATATATATATATATATATATATATATATATATATATATATATATATAGTAGTAGTAATCTTATAAGTATAAGAAATTATACTGTTCGAAAAACCTTCAGTGTTTTGATTAGCAAATAATCAAACCAATACCAAAGAGGAAAAAAAGAAAGAACCAAGAACATGTACGTTAGCCGAAAATAATCATCTAGCATGCAAGTCCAAGCCTAAAGAAAAAAACCCGATAGAGCAGCCAAAATAACTAAATAAAGTGCTCGATACAGTAAGAGCAGGGCTAGTTAAACCTAGAGAGCAAAACAAATCTACAAGGTTTCATCTAAGCGGATCGTCAGGGAAGGCTGGTTCTTTCCTGAATATCCGCTTAGGTAAAACCTTGGTAGGTTTTTCTGGCTCTTTAGGTCTAACTATATATATATATATATATATATATATATATATATATATTATATATATATACGAGTTTCAAACCATTTCCAAAATTAACTTGAGGTGAGCCTTTTCGCATCCCTTTAACATATGCGTGTGTGCGTACGATAGAGAGAGAAGGAAAGAGACAGAAAAAGGATCTAAACAAAAATTAGAAGGAAAGTTTAAAGAAAGAAAAATAATGAATTAATGAAACCCCTCTAGTTGTGAATAAGTTTGAAAAAACATAGAAAGAAAAAAAACATATTTATAAAGGAAAAAAGAAAGAAATAAGAAAGGACGAAAAAGAAACTTTTGATAAGAAAGAAAGAATGAAAGAAAAAAAGATATACAGAAAGAAAGAAAGAAATAAAGAAAGAAAAAGGAAGAAGGATAAAAACGATTCTGATTGAAGGTAGCAATAGAAAAGAAGGAAGTAACCTTGTGATAAACGAAAGAATGAAAAAAGAAAAATGTATGTAGGTAAAGCAAGGTTTAGAAAAAAAAAGATAGAAAGAATTTGACATAAGAGAGGAAGAAAGTAAAGAACAAAGAAAGAAAAGTGAAAGAAAGAAAATGGAAGAAAAAAAACAATGATTCTGTTTGAAGGCAACAAAAGAAAGATCTAAAGAAATAAAAGTAAATATATACGAAAAGAGAAGGAAAGAAAAAAAAAGAAAGAAGGTATCTAAGGCAAAATTTAGAAAAGAAAGAAAGAAAAACGAAAGAAAAAAGAAAGAAAGAAAAAGAAAGCTTTGATAAGAAAGAAAGAAATAGGAAGTTTACATAGGAAAGGAAGAAAGAAAGAAACAAGGACGAATGAAAGAAAGAGAGAAAGAAAGAACGAAAACAAAGAACGATTTTGGTCGAAAACAAGTGAAATATCTAAGTAAGGATATACGAAAAGAGAGGAAGAAAGAAAGAAAGAAAGAAAGAAAGAAAGAAAGAAAGAATGGAAGGAAAGAAGGTAAAAGAAATAAAGACAGTTGGTATGACAAGGTTTAAGGAAGAAAGTCTGGAAGGAAGGAAGGAAGGAAGGAAGGAAGGAAGGAAGGAAAATAAATAAAGACAGTAGGTATGACAAGGTTTAAGGAAGAAAGTCTGGAAGGAAGGAAGGACGGAAGGAAGGAAGGAAGGAAGGAAGGAAAAATAAATAAAGACAGTAGGTATGACAAGGTTTAAGGAAGAAAGTCTGGAAGGAAGGAAGGAAGGAAGGAAGGAAGGAAGGAAGGAATGAAGAAAAAATAAATAAAGACAGTTGGTATGACAAGGTTTAAGGAAGAAAGTCTGGAAGGAAGGAAGGAAGGAAGGAAGGAAGGAAGGAAAAATAAATAAAGACAGTAGGTATGACAAGGTTTAAGGAAGAAAGTCTGGAAGGAAGGAAGGAAGGAAGGAAGGAAGGAAGGAAAAAATAAATAAAGACAGAGGTATGACAAGGTTTAAGGAAGAAAGTCTGGAAGGAAGGAAGGAAGGAAGGAAGGAAGGAAGGAAGGAAGGAAGGAAAAGTAAATAAAGACAGTAGGTATGACAAGGTTTAAGGAAGAAAGTCTGGAAGGAAGGAAGGAAGGAAGGAAGGAAGGAAGGAAGGAAGGAAGGAAAAATAAATAAAGACAGTAGGTATGACAAGGTTTAAGGAAGAAAGTCTGGAGGAAGGAAGGAAGGAAGGAAGGAAGGAAGGAAGGAAAAATAAATAAAGACAGTAGGTATGACAAGGTTTAAGGAAGAAAGTCTGGAAGGAAGGAAGGAAGGAAGGAAGGAAGGAAGGAAGGAAGGAAGGAAGGAAAAATAAATAAAGACAGTAGGTATGACAAGGTTTAAGGAAGAAAGTCTGGAAGGAAGGAAGGAAGGAAGGAAGGAAGGAAGAAAGGAAGGAAGGAAAGAAAAATAAATAAAGACAGTAGGTAAAGTAAGACTTAGGAAGAAAGAAAGGTAGAAGGGTAGGAAAGAAGGAAAGGAAGGACGAAATAAAGAAAGAAAGAAAAGAAAGAATAATTTTGGACGAGTCCAAGAAAAGAAGTTCTAAAGAAAGAAAAGAAAGAGAAAGAAATCCTGCAAAAGAAAAAACAAAAACAAAAAAACAAAGCGAATGAAATGTTAATCCCAAAGAAAAAAAAAACTGCCAACGAAAGAGGAGGAAAAAAAGAAAGAAAAAGAGAGAGAAAAAAAGAAGCCGTTTGAAACGTATAGAAACAGTGAAAACTGAGACAAACCAGAAAGAATTTTGGAAGGCAAAGATGTGGGCGGAAGGAAAGCGCTTGGGCTGGGTGTAGGGGGTCAGCTGGGTGGGAACAGGAAAAACCATGAAAATAGACAAATAGTTACCGGTGTAGAACAATAGTTAAAGCAAAGGGCTAACCAATGTGAGGCACGGATGCCTGAAAAAGAATAATTGTTCAAAAAAGTAAAAGAAGAAAATATCAGCAAAATATTCCAAATAACTCAGAAAAATATACATTAATTTCATCTTCTTATTGTCACTTTTGATCCCAACAATAACAAGATAAAAGGAAATTAGTAATAAAATAATAGTAATAATGAAGAGTGGGTAGTGGAATTCCAAACGAACGTCAGAATTATCAAGGGACAAGGCAAAGGCATCAATATATATATATATATATATATATATATATATATATATATGTGTGTGTGTGTGTGTGTGTGTGTATGTATATATATATATGCCGATTTTCAAAATTATAATTATAATGGAATCACATTGTCTTATACAAAATGCAGCAGAAATATCTCCCACATTTTGGCAAAAAGACCATATATATATATATTGATGCCTTTCCTTTTGTTGTTCTTATATTATTATTACTATTATTTTATTACTAGTTTCTTTATCTTGTTATATATATATATATATATATATATATATATATATATAATATATATATAAATTGTATTCAACAAAGCATACGATAAAGAATATATACGAAAAAGAAGCATGCAATGAGTCAGACGAGAGTAGTCTCTCTTTGACTATAAAAGTTTATCAATGTTCTCTGAAAAAGAAACGAAAGAGTTATTAGTCTGTTATAAATGTTTTTAAACAGTTCTGCCGTGCAAGAGGAAAATTATGTAAGTGTGATAGAATATATAATTTGTGACTAAAGAGATGGACGCATATTTTCGACTGACGTGGATTCCAAATGCAGTCGAAGTCTCACTGGTGTTGGTCCTCTTTTGTTCTGTTTTTATAGGTAGTCATTGAATTAGGAATCTGCGCGAATTAGAATCTTCCACATGCAAAAGAATCTGATTGTTTGATACTGACCAATCAGTGCCTGAGTTTTGAGAGTCTTCTGGGAGCCAATGCTCCCAAAATTGCACAAATCTTACTATATGAAAATTAAATATATATATATATATATATATATATATATATATATATATATATATATATATTAATTTTATTTAAAAATATGATTCCAAAAACGTTTTGGAATCATATTTTTAAATGACTAATTATATTTATGCTCTACTTTTGTATCGAGCACTATTTTTTAAAAAATAATAACTAAAATACTAAGGGACTTTGGATTATTTACCTAACCAGTTCCTTCCTATTTTCTATATATTTTCATATATATATATATATATATATATATATATATATATATATATATATATATATATAATATATAAATTGTCGCTTCAGATAGCAGCGTTGCTTTCTGTCCAATGAATGAATGCTGTTAAAGATTTGAATTTGTAAGGGTGTGTGTGTGTGTGTGTGTGTGTGTGTGTGAGACGATGATGATGATCGCTAGAAGTGTATTAAGCCAGAGTGCAGATTCATTTCTCTCACTTCTCGCCAGCGGAACTCTCTTCCGAGTTCTTGCATTCCTGCCACATACGATCTCATATATAATCTATATAATCATAAACTATATGCAGGCAGTAAAACCTCTGATCGTGTTATTTAAGGTTATGAGGTACGTGGAAACGCCACTTAATTGCTGTCGTTTCAAATTCTATCCAGGCAAGAGGTAATAACATCTATTAGGGTCCAATCTATGGGTAAATATTGAACTCCCCACCAATATGTTAAAAAAATTGCTAACCATACCTATTTATAGTAAAATTATCAACAATATAATTTTATAGAATGATGAACAACAATACATTTTATTTTTAGCTTGAGACAATTTACCTATTTATAGTAAAATTATCAACAATATAATTTTATAGAATGATGAACAACAATACATTCTATTTTTAGTTGAAGACATAAACAAGACGTAAAATGTTTAGATTTCGGCATTAAATAACCCATAGAGGTGTTGATATGCCCCTAAAGAAAATCAACCAACCAACATTGGAAGGAAAGACCCGATCGTCTCTTTATTTAAAAGAACAGTATAGATCGTTGATTTTGCCATTTGAAACTGAGTAGGAAGAGATAATATCATCAACAATTGTTTTTCTTTTAACTTTTCTTTTTCCTTTACCAGTATCACTGCTAGATTTCTTTAGAGCCCAGCAAAATCAATTGGAAAAGAAACTCACATCACAACATACGAATATATACAAGGCGGTCGATTAATAAATGATTCTGTTCGGGTTAACTCTGTTAGGGTCGGTTCGGCAATGTTGTTCAAGTATCGAACATGTTCTCAAAAGGTTTACTGTAAGTGGGAAGTACAGTGAAACCTCGGTTCACGAAACCCGTTTGTTAACCGAAACTATTCTTCCAATAGAAATCAATGTAAAATCGATTAATCCGTTCCTGGTCCCAAGATTGCTTTAGTTAAAATTTTACCAAAATACTTTGTGCACAAGTTTATACACAAAATTAATGAAAATCATTAAATGTAAGAAAAAAATAAATAAACCCAATTCTAAACAGATAAAAATATAGACGAACACTTCAATTTTAGCGTACCTGTAAGTAGGAGAGTTGATGGCGTAAGTGAAAGGGGAAAGAAAGCGATGTTATTGTTTGGAAAAAGGAAGGAAAGACGTGATCGTCTCTTTATTTAGAAGAATAGTAGAGATCGTTGATTTTGTCATATGAAACTGAGTAGAATGAGACAAAATCATCAACAATTGTTTTGTATTTTTTTCTTTTTTAACTGATGTAGTGGAATAACCTGCCGCCCCCATGAGTGGTGGCACTATAGGTGGCAATCACCTATAAGTATCTATTAGGACAGCGGACAGCAGATTCGACCTAGGAGACGAGCGGTCTTCCAATAGCAGCACGCACACAAGTGTCCTGACTTGCGACCATCGTGCGCATAACTATTACTTCCTTGCTTGGTGTACTGGTTTATACAACAAATCAGTTACTATTTATCAACCGTGTTTGTCCATTCCATATTACTATTAGCACAATATATAACATTAACTTTTCTTTTACTAGTATCGCTGCTAGCTTTCTTTGGAGTCTTGCCTGAGGAGAAACGAAGACAATAAAGAGGGACAGTATAATAAAATTGGAAACGAAAAGCACAGCACAACACACGTATCTATACAACGTGGTGGTCGACTCCGTTTATGATTCCGTTCATGTTGTTCTGAGATGAGGTATTATGTACATTATTTACATTATTGTCCTCATCTTTGTCGCCATATTTATAACAACGTTACGGCCATTCAGTATCTGTCTATATTTCTGAAATGAGGTATTATGTACATAATACCTCATCTCAGAAATATAGACAGATACAAGAAAGGCCGAAACGTTGTAATAAATACGGCGACAAAGATGAGGACAATAGTCTGAATAATGTAAATATTGTACATAATACCTCATCTCAGAAGTATAGACAGATACAAGAAATGCCGAAACGTTGTAATAAATATGGCGACAAAGATGAGGACAATAGTCCGAATAATGTAAATAGGTAACCAAAATTTTGTTTGATAACCGAGGTATTTTCATCTTGAATATTCTGTTCGAAAACCGAGCTTGCTCTGAACATTCTTTCAAGACTTTTGTTTCATTGCATCTCATTATTAAACTTTCTAACATTTTGACGGCTCGTGTACAGTAGTAATACTACTAATAATAACTACCTTAAAAAGTCATTACTTACACTGGACTATTTGCAACATCTTTACTAGTGGTAGAGAGATCCGGGTAACCAACAAGAAATTTCGAACTCAAGCAAAATGTTTAATTCGAAAATCGAACTTTGATTACAGACAATATTCTCTGAAATTTTTAAGATTAGTGCAGCTAAAAATTACACAACAAAGCGTTAACATTATATTCCACAAGTAAATTTTAGAGATGTCCACCGTATAAAAAAATAGACAAACTTCAGTCTGTCAGTCAGCCTGTTAAAATATACAGCTACTGTCATGCTAAAAAATGTATTTCTGTGATGTTCTAAATTTAAAGTACTATTTGTTTCTATACAGATTAATTAAACTTTAAATCAACTAACATTCTTCAGATAAACTTTCAGAAAAGTATATTTGATTTTTGAAAGAATTTTTAATAAAGATAATTACATTGTGTTGACAGATACCTGAAAATGGCGGAAAGATCAATAAATTTAGAAAAAAAAAACTCTTTCCAATTTAACTTCGTTTTGAAATACAGTAAAATATTATGCTTATTGGAAATAATTATATTTAATCTATTAGTTTGAAATTAAAACTAAAATAAAAGCTTCAAGTTTGTTTTTTTTTCATTTTAAACCTTAAGTATCTCTTTTCTTAAGACGTTTCTATAACATTCATATTTGTTTTTATTCCTGTAGAGATAGACAGAAAAGATGTGTGAAATATTGTTTTGAGAAGTTATGCAGTTTAGGACTCCAGAAATGGCAACGTGAAACCTAAAGAAATAAAGTAGAAAGTAGGAACTCCCGTCTGCTATGAAAGATTTATCTAAGTAGAGTAAAAGATTCATTTTAACAGAGATGACGCTGTAAGGAAGCCATGTTGAATTCCCTTTATTGCAATTGCCAAAATACAATTTCTAAAGTAACTTAGTATTGAAGCGTATGGCAGAAGATTGCGGTTCAATCTCAATTGATAAAGAAATGTAACCTTAATCTTCTGAATTTCGATCTGAAGCTAAATGTTCAGTTCAAAAATCGGAATATAAAGCCCTTGCTCTGCTCAAGAAACATGGACCGTGTCTCTTGGCCATACTGATACGATTGCGGAGTCTCCTTTCAGAATTGTAGAAAAATGCCAATGTATTTAAGTACTGAATACTCATCACACAGAAAGTAACTCAATTTTTGTATTTTTCCAGCTCCGATGATTTGAATCATTGTATTCATATATATATTAACCAACCACTGGCATCGTACGAGACACACGGTATTCTTGAAT